AGAATTGAAGCCAAACTTTCAGGTGAGTCCTGAGTTATCCTACCCCAATATCAGTTATATTTAATTACTAGGTTTATTCAATACTTCATGTAATTTAATAGTTCCAAAACTAGGCTACTCATTAGAAACAAGTGGCTATCAAAAAAAAAAATAATACATATTTCTAGGTCCACTTCCAACCTAATGAATCTCAACCTAGATGTGGAAGGTGGGAATCTGTATTTCTCAAAAAAAACCCCAGAAGATTCTTAATCTGTCCCCTAGGTATCCACTAGAATTTAAAAACCAGTTACAATCAATTGTATCCATTAAAATGAACTTTGAACTACTATGTTGAAATAAAAGAAAACAAATACTGGGCTGATTTTTCCACATTTTTCTTTTTTCAATTAGATAATCAGAAGTTCTAAGAACAAAGGGTTTGATAAGAAACTTCATTTTGAAGGCTGATTCAATGATAGAATAGCCTGATCCCAGAGCTACAAAACTGCCCATGGATATTACACTGAAATTTCATTGTAATCCAAGTTTTTAATACTGCTCTCTCTCCCTTAACCATTTCTGATGCATTAAATAGTGTGCATCAAAAAGCAGGATTCTACTGTGACACGTTAAGTCCTGGGTGGAGCTCATCACCATTGTTGAAACTCTCAGACTTAAAGACAGATGATATATGCCCCTAAGTCAGAGTTTAGAGAATATTTATGATACTTTTCATGGGATATTTACTGCTTGCCTGCTATTTAAAAAAAAAAATTCTACATTGCTACTAAAACTGTAAATATTTATATGGATAAGTTGTGAAAGGTAGGAGCATAAATAGATGAATTGACAGATTGCTCAAAGAAAATTAACTAGACAATTTATTATAAATTCAAAATCAATGCTACACAATGTCTTACCTTTTCTTTAATATTGCAGTTTCAGAAATTCAACAAGGACAGTTTTGATCCTATTCTAAGGAAGAAAAACAAAAAAATGTCAGTCAGAAAAAGGAAAGACCAAGATATATACAAATGTAGAAACATTTTAAGTGCAGAGGTTATAGAACATGAAGACCAAGATCCTCCTTATCCAGCGTGTTCAAAAACTGCAGTACCTACTAGTAAAACCTGGACCTGTGATCCTAATAGCTTCACAATAAAGACTTCAGACACTAAAAATAAGTTAGCTCACAATCCTACTAACAACACAATGAAGACTTTAGAAACTGAGAATGAATTAGCCAATGAACCTACTATCAACACAAGAAAAGCTTTAGACACGAAGAATAAGTTAGCCCATGATCCTCCTATCATCACAATAAAGCCTGTAGGTTCTAAGAATAAATTAAAAGAAAACCTACCACATGGATCTTTACCATGCTTCAAAAGAGACTCATCAGTGACTGGAAATGCAAATACATGGTGCCTTTCAAAGTCATTAAGTCTTACCTCCCATATAGAAAGTCTAAAACAATCAATGATACTCAAGTCAATTTTAAGTAAAAATCTGCAAGACCTTTCAGACAAATTATTTTCTAAACCAGAAGTCGGAATAAACACTGAAGCAAGAAAGAAAAGTAGTTCTCCACTTTTAAGCATTCGTGATAAACCATCAAGTAGTATGGAAGATAAAGTATTTGAAAAAATTCAAGATTTAAACAGCTGGTTTTCAGAAAAAGATATTTTAAATTCAAAGGCTCTTTTAAGTCAAATAATTAAAAATATTCCTGCAGATTTACTTTCAGAAGGTGGATCAGGAAAATCTCTAGCAGTAAAAGAACGTGTCTCTGAAAAACACTTAGAGGCTGATAAGATAGATTTTCCAATGAAAAAAAAGAGTAGTTGCAAAAAGAAACATTTAATAAGTGAAGTATCTAGCCCCAAATCAGATTTAAGTGGCAATGTATATGACTATGCTATAAAACAAATATTCACTGCACCAAACTTCTCAAAATTGGAGATAAGAATGAAAGAGCCAGGAGAAATACAGATGAACTTGCAGGATCAATTACTCACATCTTGGGAGAGAAGTTTATCTTCACGTATTCTAGTTCCCTATGAAAACGACGATGATGAAATAGAATTGCCACAGCCGAAATCTGTTGTAAGCCAGATAATACAAGCATTTCCTCTAGACACTCTTTTAGAATCTGGGATAATCAAAGTGATAGAATTAGATAAAGAACACCAAGGGAGCTCTATGCTGAGTACAGAGATAGCCTTTCCTGAAGAAAAGCCAAAGGATTCTACAAAGGATTATTCAGAAATCAAAAGCAAAATAGAACTTCTTTCAGAGCAGAATATACCCATCATTTCCAAAGCTAACATTTCTTCCGTTAGTAGAGTTAAATTTATAGAGGAAAGCCAAAATATGCTCTCACAAGATTCAAGATATCATTCAACATCAGATAAAGAAACAGATTTGCCAAGTCATAGTCAGCGGCTTGATAGAGAAGAAAATGATCTAAATTCTAGTTTAGAAAATTTAGCTAAATCATTAATGGGTAAACTTAGTGAGTCAGATGAAATAATGTTAAAATCCTTTTTTAAAAATATCTTTAATGCTTTTTTCAAATATAATCA